GTGAAAAAAAGATATGTGAGGTCCAACACTGACGATGACCTCGTGAACCCCCCAAATAATCCTGCAGCTGACGAAACATCAAAGCGTAGTAGGGATGAAGATAATGAACAGATGACAAGAGGAAGGAAAAAGATGAAAAAGGTTAATGTACTAAACATCTTTTTACATTTGTGAACGATTAACTCTGGTTGTCTGGATTCTGCAATATGCACTCTACTTTAAACTCCTCGATTCACTTGAGTGAAACGAGATTCACTGCAGTGAATCGAGATTCACTGCAGTGAATCGAGATTCACTAGAGTGAATCGCGATTCATTGGATGTATCTCTATTCACTCAAGTGAATAGCTACTTAGTGGAGTCAATTTGTATTCACTCAAACATAGAGAATCTCGATTCACTAATGTGAATCCTGATATTCACAAGAACATTTTTTGTTATTAACTGATGGATAATTTGTACTAATTTTCTTTTTTTGTCACTGCAGAAGTTTTTGAAAAAAAAATGAGAGTTCTGAACCTAAGGAGTTGACTAGGATACGGGTCTCTCCAAAGATATTCTCTGATATGGTTTTGTCACTCTCTGACTCCCAAAAAGAATGGGTGAGACTAGCTGGACTTGGAGGTCTTTTACAATTTGGATTAAAGGAACTGCCACATATGTTGGGGTACCAGATTCTGTAGTCCTTTGACAGTGAATCCGTTGCGCTTAATCTTCCCAGAGGATCAATCAGTATCACAGAGGAAGATGTACATCAAGTGATGGGATTACCTCTAGGCAGGAAGCGTATACCAGCTTCCAGTACTGGCAAGTCAGCATTGGTGGATGAATGGAGGGGTCAATTCACAGACAGATTTGGTTGGAAAATTACTCCAGGGGCTGTGTCTGAGAAACTGAAGCACAGTTCTGATGTTAACCTGTTTTTTAAACTGAATTTCTTGGTTCTCTTTCACAACAGCATGATCCAGTCGCTTAGCAATCCGTATGTCAACCAACGGATTCTAGTACTTGGTGATAATGTTGATCAGTGCTCTCAATACAATTGGTGTTCTTTATTACTTGACTCAATGATAGATAGCCAACACAAGTGGAAGGTTGACCCGACAAAACAATTCTACACGGGTCCTCTTGCATTCTTGATTGTAAGTCACTTGTATAATATTGATTTATTTCTACATTACTGCAGTTAAAGTAGTTTTACTTGATTATTACTAATTGATGTGCTTTATTTCTTATCTCCGTCTTTCTAGGTTTTCTATGCCGATCGGGTTCTGTTCAAAGGTAGGAGGTTGGTTGAGAGAACAACCCCTACATTTTTAGGATGGACTGACTTCGCCTTGAAGGAAAGACAGTCAGAGGAAATAAGAACAAATTCATTTGGCAAAGGTGCATTTACAGAGAGGGTTGAACTTCCAGATTCATCTCGAATGCAGAGTGCTACTGGAAACTCTCCTAAAAGTGTTGACACAATTAGAAAGGTTAGCAAAATAAGTTGGAATACTTTGTTTATTCAATATATTTTAGATTCAGTAGGAGTGAATCTCGATTCACTTAAAATGAATGTTGATTCAATACAATGAATCGTTTTACTAGTAATGAATCTCGTTTCAGATCAGTGATTATCAATCAAGTTAAACTGAATTCAGATTCAGTTAAGTGAATCTGGATTCAGTGATACTCAATATCGATCTATTGAACTGAATCTGGATTCACTATTACTGAATCTCGATTCATTAAAGTGAAACTGGAATGAATCTAGATTCACTACTACTGAATCTTGATTCAAATACATTGAATGTAATCTCAAACTATCGAATCTTGTCTATCGCCATGTTAATAATTTATGGTGACCAATGTCTGTGATATTCAAAATGCATGATTGTATTGAGAGGGTTCAACGGAGAGCTGCAGAGCTGGAATCTGCAAAAAATAGATTTGATGCTGAGTGTGAGACAATGAGAAAGCTGTTCCCCGATGACAATGAGCTCTTTCAAATTCAACAAAGAGTTTCAAATGTTCTTGTGCAGGGGTGTGGACATCGTGTAAGTACCTGTGACGATGAAACAGCTGTGGGAAACATTGTTGATGATACCCCTAACGTGAACACCAAGGTGAGTAGAGATATGCATTGTTCCCCTGCTGTTGATCCAATATCAGCTGAGATACCACAAACCCAAGTCTCCCCAAAGTTTGTTCAAGAAGTTGATAAGATTATAGAGTCTGTTAGCATGAAAAAGGATGACAGACCAGTGAGACGGAAGATCAGCGAATGTAGTACCCCACAGACTGAGGAACCTAGTTTTTCTCTTGGGCTGACACAGGATACTCAGACTGAATCAGTGGAAATGGTTGATGTTGTTCAGATTGCTAAAGCTTGTGAATCTGAAATCATTGATGAATCTGTACGAAGAACTGATAAACAACCTGAAGATGCTGCTGCAGTAAATAAATGTGAAGGTAAGAAAGTTCAAACAACCTGAAGATGCTGCTGCAGTAAATGAATGTGAAGGTAAGAAAGTTCAGGTGGCCGAAAATAAGGGACATGCGGGAAGGGGGGAAGAAAAGAGGATGGTGAAGCCTGCAACGTCTCTTCGGTCACCATGGGTGCAGAGGGTATCTCAGATTACTGCTAGGCAAAGTCAGCTGGAAAGCATCATATGGAATTGGGTACATAGAGAAGTAAGGCATTCAGGTGATGATACCGCTGAAGAAGAGAATTTGTGAGTTCTGAACACTTATTTGATATTTTATTATTAGGTGTGAGACTCGCTATTGTTGCTGTTTTTTCAGTGAAATGGTATTTTGTCCCTTTATTAAATTGAATATTGTTACTGTTTTTTCAGTGAAATGGTTTTTAAGTGGAGACAAATTGAATGTTTCTTACCTGCTTTCAAGACTTTCCTTCCTGCTGAGGACGTTGAGGCAAATGTAATCAGCATTTGGTCCTATATTTTGAACAACAGAGAAAAAATGAAGTCCAAAAATTCTCCACTTAGATTCTTCTGCAATGTTGAGACAACCGTCCGTATCTTCCTTTATTTTATTTAAGATAAAACTTGAGTTACATATTATTTAACAAATTTTATGTTGTACAGTTTTGCAACATTCATCACACAGAAGAGGTCAATGATGAATTGAGATACAATCGGTTTGCTTCCCAGATGGATGAGCAACTTGCTCTGTATCCACATATGAAGTTTAATGAGATTGATATGGTAAAGATTAGAATACAATGTTTTTTCTCTTTAGCCCAATTTTAACTATATCTGTAAAATCTCTTATTAAATTTCATGACAAATAGGTCTTCTTCCCCATAAATGCGTTTGAGCATTTCTACATTGTATGCTATGGGCTAAAAAATCCAAGTGTGGAGCTGATTGACAATAGCAAAAACTGCCCTGACTACAAGGAAAAATACCAAGGTCGTCCTAAGGGTTTGGTATGTTTTTTCCACCTTACATATGTTCTTTAAGCATTTACTGGCCAAAAACAGTAATGAGTGAATCCGGATTCACTATAGTGAATCCGGATTCACTATAATGAATATTGATTCACTATAGTGAATATGGATTAAATATAGTGAATCTGGAATTCAATAGAGTCAGAGAATTCCAGATTAGCTAACTCTAGTGAATATCGATCACTATAATTAGTGAATCTGGATTCACATTTACTATGAAGCTCAATTCACTAGACATAGCGAATCTGTGTTCACATCACGTAATAACGATCCACTAGCTATAACTAGTGATCTGAAATTTTGATCACGAGAGTTAGTGAATCTGGATTCACATCTTACTATAAATCTCGATTCAATATAGCTAGTGAATTTGTGTTCACATCACATAATCACTATGCACTACCTATAGTTAATTCTAATGAATCCAGATTCATTAATATGAATCCAGATTCATTAGAGTAAATCCAGGTGAACTAACTCTATTAAATTCTAGCGAGCTAGATCCAATGAATCGTGATTCAATGTCATTAATACTGTTTGCATATAAACAACCAAAACAAATTGTATATTACATTAAACATTATTGTTTCATAATTTGGATTTGTTATGTGACACTGATTACTTTTGATTAAACAGCACCACAATTTTGTGAGATATTTGGCATACAAAAAACATCACAAGGCGAGTGAAATAAATACATTAACGCCTGACAGACTTGAGATGGAGTGGAGAATTCTAGCGAGCTAGATCCAATGAATCGTGATTCAATGTCATTAATACTGTTTGCATATAAACAACCAAAATAAATTGTATATTACATTAAACATTACTGTTTCATAATTTGGATTTGTTATGTGACACTGATTACTTTTGATTAAACAGCACCATAATTTTGTGAGATATTTGGCACATAAAAAATATCACAAGGCGAGTGAAATAAATACATTAACGCCTGACAGACTTGAGATGGAGTGGAGAACGACCAAAAACAAATTTGATTGTGCTATTTTTGTCATGAGACATATGGAGACTTACATGGGCGGTGGTACAGCAAATTGGAACTCTGGTTTTCATAGAGAGGGTGTAAGTGTTTAAACTAATAATGTGTTGATAATTTACATTTAGTCTTTTTGTATTAATAAAATTTAGAATATAGCTACTGAATCTTTAACTGAACTTTTATTCATATCGACAGGAGCGATTAAAAAATCAGCTACATAGACTGAGGTCTATATATTGTTGCCAAATTCTTACTGAACCAACAAATGAATTGGCCAAAGAAGTCATCAGGAAAGCCCAACTGCACCATGCTGAAACTGCCAAATTCAAAAAAGAGACGAGGAAGATCACAAGATCTCAAAGAAAATGATATTCTGAAATCAGCATAATTTTTAATGTTGAAGTTTACAGTTATTGAGTACATTGTCACTTAATGTTATGGAATACTCTAGTTTGTGTTGAACTGCTTTTCTATGTAAAAACTGCTTTATGAGAATAGCTTTGTCATAGTTTTATTTCTGAAATGAAATATAACAACTAAATTAAACATCACTTTGTTGTACTGTTTTCTTTAATGGGCATGTCTGTGCGTCATGGAAATCGATTATTTTGCACATATTACACAGCCTTGGCACCTTCTTTTTTCGTTGAGTAAGTGATTTCTCATAATCACCAACAATTCTCCGTCCACACCCCTTGTTTCTACCTTCAATGGGAGGTTTAACGATCACTTCCGCTGGTATTTTTGAGCCAACAAAAAACTCCATTACATCATTTTTGTTCTGTGTGTCAGATTTCCAACTAGATTCACGCAAACTGTGCTTCAACTCCTTCAACTTCCCTTCCAGGTAGTCAAGTCTCTCACCATCTAAACCTGCCAAACTCACACAGGATTGGAAATCATACCATATGTCATTCAACTTACGATTTGTAACTTCAATTGCATTGCACTTTTCTGATATTTCCTTGAACTGCAATGAATGCCTCATCTCAACACCTTTTGTCCATCGGTTCACAACAAGATGTCTTGGTATCTTTGTTACATCAGCTTGGTTCAGTGCAAAAAAACCATGTCTACATACTATACCCATTTTCTCAAACAGCCTACACGTACATTGCACGTCATTGTTCAAATAAGCGTGTTTCACCTAAAATTCAAAAAAGCAATGTATATTAGCACGGAATAAAAAAAGAAAATGCGCGATTCAGTGTTGTGAATCGAGATTCACTACACTGAATCGCGATTTATTGCATTGAAAACAGATTCAATTTCTATTGTTTCAATATCCATTATTAAGTTTTACCTCAAATATTTTTCCATGTCTCTTTTTGTCCTTTATGGAAAAAATCTTCACGCCATCTTCTTCTGATATACTGTTGATACTCATATCATAACAAGATGACATTATCTCACTCTGTACCTCATAAAACATTGTTCGAGTGTACAACTCTGCTGCATCCCTCTCCAATAACAATGGCGTGTCCATTCTTGGCATCGTCTTCGTTCCTTCATAGTTTAATCTTGCGTTTGTATGCCTTTGCTTCTCCATAGCACTCTCGTATCGGAGATAAAATTCCGTTAATGTGTCAGATCTACGGTTGAATTTGTCAAGGAAACTGTTCTCACTCTCTGATATTGATGTAGTCCGCAATAAACCGGCCATTGGATCATCAGCATAATAGGCTGGAATCCATGACTCCCGAATGTTATACAGTTCACACAACCATTCATTACTTTCAAGCTTATATTCTTTCATAACATCTTTCCAACCGACTTCAAATGTTGCTGGATCTATATCTATACTCCAAATCAGTGCATTGATCTTCCTCTTGAAATCATCCATCTTCGAAATGCATTTTGCCAACTACAATATAAATATATAACGAAAGATTCAGTATTTATCTAATGAGGATTCATGATATTTATATGTGGGATTCATTACCTTTTGGTTAAATTTCTTCATGATGTGCCACATGCACAAACGGTGACGTGCTTCTGTAAAGACGGTTGGTATAGCTTGCTTCATGGCAGGGCACTGATCTGTAACAATACACTTTGGCTCGCGAATCATGCATTTCATGAATACCTCAAAAATCCAGACATAGTTATCAATGTCCTCTTTAGCTATCAATCCTGCTGCAAATACAACACACTTCTTATAATTGTCGAGACCAGTAAATGGAACAAACTTCATGTTGTACCTATTGTATCACATACAAAAAATATAAGATTCACTATGATATATAATTACAATATTGAAAATAGTAAGAGATTAACTATAAAATCTTACTTGTTTGTGGAATATGTAGAGTCAAATGATATCACATCTCCAAATACATCGTAATTTCTTCGTCCAATAACATCTGCCCAAAAAATGCGAGTTAATCGACCACCTTCATCGACTGCATAATCATAGAAAAATCCATCACTCATCTCCTTCTTAGCCGTGAACTTCTCGATGATCATTTGAGCATCTCGATCACCAATATAAAGCTTCACATCCCTACTCCAATTTTTAAACTCGGTACAAGTAGCACCAACATTAGAATAACTTCCACACAACTCTTTAGCAAAGTTATATGTTTTGTTAGGCCCCATGTTGGCTTTTGCTCCATCAAATACAAGTTTCTTATGTGCGAGACCGAGAACTCTATTTGACTTCAAAAATTGTTTCCCACTACCGGAGACCAAAGAATGAGAATGCTCTTCAACAAATGAGAGAACATTATATCCTTTCAAACCATCAAACTTAAATACGACCTTAGCTTTGCAACCACATCTACTAGATACAGTTCTCCTTCTCTTTTTCAAAATGCTACTAGACTCATCAATATCAACATCCATCTTTGATTCATTGCTGCCAGCTCTACTGCAAACAATGTGTTTAAGAAGAACTGTACCGTCCTCATGTTTCTTCTCTGTATGCCGTCTGATCTCAAACCCACTTTTACGTCCATACTCTCGGTAAAACTCTATACCATCCTCTAGTGAGCGAAAGCTTTGGTTTAGATAAGGTTTAACTTCAGCTTCAACCCGAGGTTTCCAATACATACCACCACCTGGTGATTCAAAAGGAATAGAGCTAACTTCGTCCATTCCATCTTCTCCAAAATCACTGTCCGATGCATTTATAACATGTGGTATGTAAATTTGTTCATTGCTGCCTACAACTGAAAATAAAACACCATCAATCATATGTGTTGATATACTGAATCTGGATTTACCGCTATCCATTTAGATCAAATGAAAACATCTTACAATATAAAAATTACTTGACTTATTCTAACAAGATCAAAGAAAATGGAAAAAATTTAAAACCCTCACTTTCCTAACTGAATCGAGTAGATTCACCCAGTGAATCGCTATTTACATAACTGAATCGAGACGATTCACCCAGTGAATCGCTATTTACAAAACTGAATCGAGTCGAATCAACGAGTGAATCGCGATTCACTCAACTGAATCGCGTAGATTCACCCAGTGAATCTCGATCCACTCGACTGAATCGCGATTCACTCAACTGAATCGTGTATATTCATCCAGTGAATATCGATCCACTCAACTGAATCGCGATTTACAAAACTGAATCGAGACGATTTATCCAGTGAATCGCGATTCACTAAACTGAATAGAGTAGATTCACCCAGTTTATCTCGATCCACTCAACTGAATCGAGATAAACTCAACTAGAGTGCATATTGCATAATCCAGACCACCAATATTTACCACTATCCATTTAGAACAAATGAAAAAATCTCGATTCAATGCATCAAATTCTCCATTTAAAACTCCATAAAATGTTTAAGAATGTAAGCTACAAGATAATAAGTCATATGGCTAAGTTTTTAAATACTGAATCTAGTTCCATTACAATGAAAAAAACTAGACCATGCACACCTGAATTCAAGCTCTCCATTTCAATCTCCATAAAATGTTGAGCAATGTCCAGCTGCTGGACTTCGAACAAGAGAGCTGAAGAACGATGAATGAGAGCTACTGGACGTTTTCTCGATGAACGAGAGCTGAAGAACGATGAACGATGAACGAGAGCTGCTGGACGATTTCTGAACGAGAGCTGAAGATCTGAAGGACGATGAACGAGATAGCTGCTGGACAATTTCACGATTGAAAGCTGCTGGACGATGAACGAGAGCTGATATTCGTGACTGTTGGGTTGCCTGAGTCGTAAGATTGCATGGGGAAATGGAGAACTCAACAGAAGCATTAATTACCTCTCTTTGGGTGCTGTTTATTTTACCAGATTACCCTCACGCAGGTTTAATCTCAGCCATTGGATGAATCTAGATCCAATGGAGAGGAGAAGTTTTTAGTTTTTAGGATAGCGAGGTTTGTATTTGAACCTCTCCCTATATATATATATACATATATTATATATATACATATATACATATATTATATATATATACATATATTATACATATAAGAAAATAAAAAAATACTATTCCGGGCCGGGTCTGGGCCCGGGCCGGGCGCCAACGACCGGACCCGTGTCTGGCCCGGGTTTTCGGGCCAAGCCCGGGCCGGGCTCCGGCCGGCGAGTCATTTATGATAAGCGCGGAAGAAATGGCCAAGATGCTTGAAGACGCTTTGGCTAAACAGAAAGAAAGTTTCAAGTTTGAGATGCAGATGGCCCTGCAGACTATGAGAGAGATGCATGAGCAACAAATCCAGGCATTCAGGAACCAACAAGGTGAACCAAGTCACCGTAATCAGGTTGTTCAGGAAGAAGAGCACACGGATAGGGATGGAGCTCACAATGCCAATAACCCTCCCGTCAATGCAGGGGGTTGTTCGCGGGAAAAATCGTGTCTTTCTTCATTGTTGATATCATTGCTATCTCAGTTAACAACTTTATGCGTTACAAAGATCCGGTCTTTTTATAAGATCCGGTTACAATGAAAAATCAAAGAAAACAAAGTAAAGATTACAATTTTCCTTATTTGTCGAACTAATCGCGAGCTCCTGTTTTGCGGTCGCTCGCTTTGGTGGGTTCTTTGCCTGCGCCGGGGTTATTTGCCGTGGACCACCGCGTGATCTCGATCCGGTCGGATCTACACGATATGACGGGTAATATTCCACCAAGGGAATAATAGCCGGGAGGGATTGTTTCACCAAGGAAACAACCGCTCGAATCTCGGGATCTAAGAACCAAGCTTAGATCCGGAGTGTGATCGTGTAGATCTCAAATCCAATCCTCTCGAACTCCTGCCTTATTTGGCGTTGGTGATCGCCGAGCACCGGATCTGAAAGTCCAAGTCTCCAAGCCTTCAAAGTTGTGATCTTTTTTAGATCTGAGTCTTCAATCCAGCAGGGCTTCGCCTCTCTCCAAAATTTCCAACCTCTGAAACAAATGAGCACAAGGCCTATTTATAGGCACTCAGAACTGTGCCCGCGCACAGTTCTGAGCCTAGCCACCCATGGGTGGCTCGGCCTTGGCCGAGCCACCTCAGGGTGGCTCGGCTTGGGCCGAGCCACCCTGGGGTGGTTCGGTTTCGGCCGAGTCCCCGGGTGTTTGTCCGTTTCGTCCTTTGTTTCCGGTTCTGGTTCTCTTGTGTGGTTGATTGACTTGGCAACGACTCTTTGACTTGATTCCAGATTTGGCAGTGAGTCGGGTTCCTGATATGGCAGTAAACCAACTTCTGAATTTGAGTCCGGAATTGATGTTGATTTGATCGTGATTCATCCGAGTTCGCTCTTGTTTAGATGACTCGGTGATTCACCTAAACATTGGTTTGATTCCGCGTGCGAGTGGATGCATTCCAATGCTTGGGTGCGATTTGTCGCCTCGTTAACCTGCTCCGTTGCGTATAGCTTGGCTTCAGCGTTGGCGAGCTAACGGTCTTGTTTGGATACGTCGCCCGGTGGTCCGTTTGTTAAATCGGCGTCGAGCTGTGCTAAGGGACCTATAGGCAATTTTATACGCCTACAGATACCCCCTCCAAAGTATTTCAGTCTCATTCTTTTATA